CTCTGATTCATTAGCTCGGGGTCGGGGCCAAGGGATTTGTTTTCAACCAGTTTCCCAGGTGACTTTCATGATCGGGCAACTTGGGGATGGATGCAGTGGTTTGAACCTGCGTCAGAGTCCCGTGGTAGACGGTTGCGACCCTACAGCTGCGTTAGGCTGAGTGTCTTTAACTAGTTGCCCCGGGTTTGCTAACGTGCAGCCTGGGCAAGAAGCACTGCAGGGAGGGCCTCGTGTCGCCATGAATTCTCCAATACAGTGTCAGGGTCGTTAGGAGGGACACCCAGGTCCTCACCAGGGTCCTCCTTCAGGTGACCGACCCTTCTGGTCGGCCCGGGACCACAGGGTTTCCGGGAGGTGTGGGCTGCCGGGTGTCCTGCAGGGACATGTCCTGTGTTTAATGACTTCGTCCTGCTCCGGTATGGGCTTTGTCAGGATGCCCTGCCTGTCAATAAAGCAACAGAAATTCGGCAGTTAGAGCTACTCTCCGCCACAGTAACTGGCAGCATTAAACGACAACACTAGGGCTGTGGGACTTCAGTGCTGAAAACTGGGGAGGCTCCAGGAGAACCAAGATGAGTGGGCCGCTCTCGTGCTCAGACCAGCCTCAGACTTGCATGCTTTGGGGTGCAAATGCGTCCATTTTTGACAGTAGCAGCCAAAGCGTCCCTCACATTCTTAAAGGGGGTCTGTAATCCCCCAAGTTTGAGAACTTCTGCTTCACACACTCACCCACGACCCATGCCCTGGTGGTACGCTGGAGTTTGGCTGGCCATTGCACCACACGATTATACTTTATGGGGGGAATGGGATTCCTACCATCCATCCCCACATGAGGTGCAAACCACAGCGCAGATGCAGGGTGGCTCAGGAGGTAACTGGTTCGTTGGAGACCCGTGGGCATCTGAGTTTAGCTGGGCTTGTTGTTGACTTTTGATTCGGTTTGCGGGTTCTGACAAAAGAAAAAAAGTTGAGGTTGTAATTTTAAAAGACACTTAGAGGTTGACCCATTCCTGGAGTTTGGATGTGTGCATGTATTCAGTAAGCACTTACCGAGCACCTACTATGTACAGGCGCAGTACAGGGTGCTCGTTGGATTGCACTGACTGGATTCTGGTGCGAGCTGACCTAAATTCGAACCCCAGCTCTACCTTCATTGGCTGTATGTCACTTAACCTCTCTGTGCCTCCACCTCTTAATCTGTAAAATGGGGGTGATAACCTCATGGGCTTTAGTTAGGAAATAATGCACACAAGGCAGTGAGCCGGGGCTCTGACCCAGGCCTGTCGGGATCAGACTCCACCCCCATGACAGGCTACTCCAGAAATGAAGTCCTCGTGCTGTTTGAGTTAGGGGGTAGCAATGCCAGAAGCCACGTGCAACTGGCTCCTAAAAGTGCCTCTTCCCAGCGTTGCAAGCAGCCTGCACCATCACACCCTGGTGAACAGTGAGTGTGCACCGTCCCAGGGCCTGTGCCAAGTCACAGTCCATGGGAGAGAATGCCGGGTGGTGAGATTAAGTTTCCAACCTGCAGAGCTGGGCCCTGCCGTGGGACGTCCCCGTGGGCAAGCGGACCCTGCAGGATGACAGAGCTGGGCATGCCTGGTAAGGAATGGGTTTGGCCACAGCCTCCCTGCAAGTCCCCTGCCTGTGGGCGAAGTGCACCTACAAGAGGAGGGGAGGCTGTGTCCACGCCTCGCCCTCTGGGCTGGAGAAAGTTCCAAGGAGAAGCAGCCAGCTCTCTCAGTCTCCCGGACAGTTTCCCCTGTCCCTGAGCTACAGACCTGACGAGTTAGGTCTCAGAGCACCCTCTGCTGTCCAAGGCCAATAATGCAGCCCACGGGAATACAAACTTTTTGTTTAAAAAGAGAGAGAAATCCACCCTGGATTATTGAACTTTTCGCGGAGAGACCCGTGGGGTCCATTGAACCCTGGGCCCTTTTCCCAAGAAAAAACCGTAAGAGAAAATAAATGCGTGCTGTTTTTTAAGCGTTTTGCAAGTTAATTTGTTTTGAGTCGCCCTGGGAAAAACTTCCCAAACGCAGGACCTCAAAGCTTGTCTTTCACCTTGCCTCCCTTTCCCCGTTCTTTGAAAGGACAAAAAAAAGGACCAGAAAGAAGGAAACTCGGGTGAACATCGCCAGCGGCGCGAGGCCAAGCCAAAATGTGGGCCCACCCCGGTCCCCAACTTTGAGAAAAAGGAAAACCCACCCATAAAATGCCACACTTTATTTATCCATTCACCAGTTGATGGACATTTGGTTGTTTCATTTTTGTCTATTGTGAATAAAGCTGTTACGCACATTCGTGTACCTGTCTTTGTGTGACATGTGTTTTCATTTCTCTTGGGTAGATACCTAGGAGTAGAATTGCTGGATTGTATGGTAGTTTTCTTTCTTTCTTTCTTTCTTTTTTTATTGAGACAGAGTCTCGCTCTGTTGCCCAGGCTAGAGTGAGTGCCGTGGCGTCAGCCTAGCTCACAGCAACCTCCAACTCTTGGGCTCAAGCGATCCTCCTGCCTCAGCCTCCCGAGTAGCTGGGACTACAGGCATGCGCCACCATGCCTGGCTAATTTATATATATATATTAGTTGGCCAATTAATTTCTTTCTATTTATAGTAGAGATGGGGTCTCACTCTTGCTTAGGCTGGTTTCAAACTCTGATCTCGAGCAATCCACCCACCTCGGCCTCCCAGAGTGGTAGGATTACAGGCATGAGCCACCGTGCCCGGCCTGTATGGTAGTTTTATATTTAATCTTTTGAGACACTACCAAACTGTTTTCCAAAGGGTCTATACCATTTTACATTCTCAGCAGCAGCTAACGCAGTTCCTACTTCTCGGAAAAGCCCCGGCAGTGGGCAGCAAGGCCCAGGGTGCTGAGGAGTCTCCCTGGGGCCTCTCGTGTGGCTCAGTGGTCATCAGGTGTGTGGGGGGGGAGGGGGACGGGAGGCTTTGAGAAGCCCAAGGGATCCCTGAGCCCACGAAGTACAAAGTACGCTAAGGTGAACTCTGAAAGGGAGCATCACCATGGGAGGTTGATTTTTGTTTGTGTCCTTTACCCACCTGAGGCTCAGTTCCGGTCCCATCTGCACAGGGGCTCAGGATGCCTTTTAGGGCGTCTTCACCTTGTAGGCATCTCACGCGGCAGCCATGGGAGGCGTTGAGATCTGCACCTTGAAGTTCAGAGTTGGTATTTCCCGCAGGTAATCCCAGCACTCTGGGAGGCTGAGGCGGGAGGATCACTCGAGGCCAGGAGTTCGAGACCAGCCTGAGCAAGAGCAAGACCCCCCCCCATCTCTACTAAAAATAGAAAAAAATTAATTGGACAACTAAAAATATATAGAAAAATCAGCCGGGCATGGTGGCGCATGCCTGTAGTCCCAGCTACTTGGGAGGCTGAGGCAGGAGGATCCCTTGAGCCCAGGAGTCTGAGGCTGCTGTGAGCTAGGCTGACGCCACGGCACTCACTGTAGCCTGGGCAACAGAGTGAGACTCTGTCTCAAAAAATAAA